TCCTTTTTCTCCTTTTGCTGCTCCGTTTGCTGCTCCTTTTTCTCCTTTTGCTGCTCCTTTTTCTCCTTTTGCTGCTCCTTTTGTTGCTCCTTTTGTCTCCTTTGCTGCTCCTTTTGCTGCTCCTTTTGCTGCTCCTTTTGTCTCCTCTTGCTGCTGCTTTTGTCCCCTTTTGCTGCTTTTTTTGCTGCTGCTTTTGTCTCCTTTGCTGCTCCTTTTGCTGCTGCTTTTGTCTCCTTTTGCTGCTCCTTTCTTCTCCTTTGCTGCTCTTTTTGCTGCTGCGTTTGTCTCCTTTTGCTGCTCCTTTTGCTGCTGCTTTTGTCTCCTTTTGCTGCTCCTTTTGCTGCTTCTTTTGTCCCCTTTGCTGCCGCTTTTCAAAAGCTTCTTGTCTCCAGTTTTTCCTTAAACCCTAAACCCTAAACCCTAAACCCTAAACCCTAAACCCTAAACCCTAAACCCTAAACCCTAAACCCTAAACCCTAAACCCGCAGCTGGGCTTAGGCAGCTTTTGAAGTCTGCTGCTGTTTTGTTGTGGGGCCTGCCTCGACCTGCTGCTGCTGCTGCAGCAGTGGTTGCTGCTGCTGCTGCTGCTGCAGTGGCTGCTGCTGCTGCTGCTGCTATTCTTGCTGCGCCGTTTGCTGCTGCTGCTGCTGCTTGCAGGAGACGCCTCCAACTTCGTAGAGACGGAGCAGCTGCTGCTGCACTACTACCACGACTTGCTGCCGTCTTACATTTCCCCGGCCAGGATGCCGAGCAGCAGCAGCAGCAGCAGCAGCGACAGCAGCAGCAGCAGCAGCAGCGACAGCAGCAGCAGCAGGAACAGCAGCAGCAGCAGCAACACCTGCAGACGCAGCTGGAGACTGGACATCCAGAGCTATGTTCAGATAAGGGGCTCCATACCTCTTTTGTGGCAGCAGCCTCCGACGCTGAGGTAAAAATCTAGCAGCAGCAGCAGCAGCAGCAGCAGCAGCAGCAGCAGCAGCAGCAGCAGCAGCAGCAGCAAAAAGAGGAGCACCAGCAGCAGCAGCATCTGCGGCAGCAGTAGGAAGAGTGTGGTCTTTTGGAAGCGGTTAAAACTAACAAAAAGCACGGTCTTGAAGGGCCGGTTGCTGCTGCAGCAGCAGCAGCTGCTGCTGCTGCTGCTGCTGCTGCTCCCCACAGGCAGCAGCAGCTTGCAGCAGCAAAAGATTGCGTCTCTTGTCTCTGCTGCATTTGCTGCAGCTGGTGTCCCCCCTCCCGCTTGGAGGCCTCAGAGCAAGACCATGAGGCTGCAGCAAAGCGCCACTTTTCCTCGCTAGTCGCGTGAGTTGCTGCTGCTGCTGCAGTTGCTGCTGCTGCTGCTGCTGCTGCTGCTGCTGCTGCTGACGGATTTTAGCTGCAGGCGTGGGATCTTGTTGCAGGCGCTATGGCACGGTGGAAGCAGTTAACTTGGTGGACAAAAAGGGCTGGCAGAGAGTGAGGCTGTCTCTTTTCAGCAGCAGCAGCAGCTGCTGCTGCTGCTGCTGCTGCTGGTGCTGCAGTGCCTGTTGTTGCTGCTGCTGCCGGTGCTGCAGCCCCTTTGCACTCCAGCGCACCATTAGCTGTGGGAAGCAGCAGCAGCAGCAGCCAGCCTTGCAGGGACAAGCAGCAGCAGCAAGTGCTGCAGCTGCTGTGGCGCCTCATTGGAGCTCTTTCTTTTGCTGCTGCTGCTGCTGCTGCTGCTGCTGCTGCTGCTTGCTGCAGACCTTGGGAGACAAGATGGAAGCAGTTCTTCAGCATATTGAGAATGTCAGCCACACCTGGTGAGGGCCGGCAGAGGCAGCACCGGCACGAGAGGTGGCAGCAACTGCTGCTGCAGCTGCTGCAGCTGCTGCAGCTGCAGCAACAGCAGCTGCTGCTGCAGCTGCTGCAGGGGCAGCAGCAGTACTAAAAGCAGCACTGCTGCTGCAACTGCTGCAGGAGAAGCACGCGTTGCATGCAAGCGCAGAGGCACGAAAAGGCGGAAATCGCTCGCGTTGCTGCTGCTGCTGTTGCTGCTGCTGCTGCTGCTGTTGCTGCTGCTGCTGCTGCTGCTGCAGGTTTGATTTTCACGCGGAGTGCAAGAACATGCGGTGGGACCGCCTCAGCAAGTTGCTGCAGCAGCTGCAGCAGCAAATCGACAGCCAGGGGTCTCTGCGGGTTTTGCTGCTGCCTGAAGAGATAGCAGCAGCAGCAGCAGGAGACTGTCCCGTGCCTGGGTGGCAGGTGGCGCAGGTTTGCATAGCTCTGCTGCTGCTGCTGCTGCTGCTGTTGCTGCTGCTGCTGCTGCTGCTGCTGTTGCTGCTGATGCTGTGCTTCGTGTCTGTGTCTCTTTTTTTCGTTTTTTTATTTTATTTCTTGCTGCTGCTGTCCCTTTCTTCTATTTGCTGCTGCTTCTGTCTTTGCTTCCGTGGGCCTCAATTGGTCTGCTGCTCTTCTTTTGCTGCTTCAACTATTTTAATCTCTCCTTTGTTTGTTTGCTTCCTCACTTGTCGCTTTCTTCTCATCTGCTGCTGCTGCTGCTGCTGCTGCTGCTGCTGCTGCTGTCTCTTTTTGCTTCCCTCTCTTTCTCGCGGCTCTTCGGGCTTCTTCGCGCCCCTGCTGCTGCTGCTCTCACTAACCCTAAACCCTAAACCCTAAACCCTAAACCCTAGACCGGGTGTAGGGTTTAGGGTAGTCCGGCTTGATCCCTCATCCGCCCACAGTCTCAATGGCCGTCCCGTCAGCCCCCAGATCAGCAGCAGCAGCAGCTGCTGCAGCAGCAGCTGCTGCAGCAGCAGCAGCAGCAGCAGCAGCAGCAGCAGCGGCGCTGCTTCTTGTCTTTGGTGTTTGCATTTCTGCGTTCAGGTGTACAGACAGCAGAGGGGAGTCATGCGGACCAACTGCGTGGACTGTCTAGACAGAACAAGTGTAGTTCAAAGTGTCTTTGGTCGAGTTGTGCTGCAGAAGCAGTTGGCGGCCTTCAGTGCAGCAGCAGCTCCTGCAGCAGCAGCAGCAGCTGCTGCTGCTCACGACGCTGCAGCAGCAGCTGCTGCTGCTGCTGCAGACGAACCCTTCGCCCCCATTCGGGTCTCTCCTGCTGCTGAAGAAATCTTCAGGACTCTCTGGACCTCCAACGCAGACGCGCTCTCTATTCTTTATTCAGGTGCCGCCACTGCAGCAGCAGCAGCAGCAGCAGCAGCAGCAGCACAGCAGCAGCAGCAGCAGCAGCAGCAGTGTGGGGTGCTTTGCGTGGGTGGACTCGCAGGGACTCCGGCCTTAAAGACAGATTTCACAAAAACGGGAAAGCGCTCAACTTGGGGAGCGCTCAAGGACGCGAAAAACTCTTTCTGCAGGTGCTGCTGCTGCTGCTGCTGCTGCTGCTGCTGCTGCTGCTGCTGCAGCTGCTGCTGCTGCTGCTGCTTCTGTTTTTCCGTACGCGTTTGCTGCTGTGGATGCCTCGGCGGTGCAGCAGCATTTCGTGCTTGATGCTGTTCAACATGCCGTTTGCTGCCATCGGTCTCACCCGCCTTCGCTGCTGCTGCTGCTGCTGCTGCTGTTGCTGCTGCTGCTGCTGCTGCTGCTGCTGGCTTCAGGTATTTTCTGAATTGCTTTTCGGACGGATTCAAAGAAGACTGTTTGTTCTTATGCTCCTGTCCTTCTTCGTTGCTGCCGCGGCAGCCGCCGCCCCGGCCTGGGGGCATTGGGCGCGTGGTGTGGGAGTACTTGCTGCTGCTGCTGCTGCTGCTGCCGCTGCTGCTGCTGCTGCTGCTGCTGCTGGCCCCACGCTGGGTCCAGTGGCTGGCGGCGTCGCTCCACGCAGCAGGAACAGCAGCAGCAAGGCTGCTGCTGTTCCTGCCAGCTCTGCTGCTGCGCCACAACTTGCTGCTGCCAGCACTTTTCCAATCCCTCCCACTTGTGGGGTGGCTGGCTTCCCCAGAGGGCCCCCTGGGGCCCCTGGGGGCCCCCCTGGGGGGCCCCCTGGAGGGCCTCTGGGGCCCCAGCAAAAGGAGGCCCCCCGAAGCTGCTGTTGAGCTGCTGACGCTGCTGCAGCTTTGCTGCTGCTTCTTTTGTCTCCTCTTCACGGGCGCTGTGGTGTACATACACTTCAGGCGCGACGACTGCATAGACGTGCCGCTGCTGCACAAGCAGCTGCAGCAGCAGCAGCAGCAGCAGCAGCAGCTGAGGCAGCAGCAGCGCCTGCTGATGGGGCTGCAGCAGCAGCAGGGGCAAATGCACTACGAAATGCAGGAACGGCAGCCACAGCAGCAGCAGCAGCAGCAGCAGCAGCAGCAGTACCGCCAGCCGCTGGAGCAGCAGCTGCAGCAGCCGCAGCAGCAGCAGCAGATGCAGGAGCAGCAAATGCCAGAGCAGCCGCAGCAGCTGCTGCAGCGGCAGAAGATCAGCAGCACGAGCGAGGGGCAGGGCTGAGCTGCTGCAGCGGCAAAGACACTTCTTAAGGTGTAGCCCCGCAGCTCCTGCAGCATCTAATTTGTAGAAACGCAGTGCTGCTGCTGCTGCTGCTGCTTCTGCTGCTCCTGCTGCTGTTTGGCAGCAGCGGCAGGCAGGGTGTGGGTAGGAAAGATCGGCTGTCAGCAGCCAAGTAGAGCTAGCTGCAGCAGCTAGCTGCTCTGGCTAGCTGCAGCAGCTAGCTGCTCTGGCTAGCTGCAGCAGCTAGTTGCTCTGGCTAGCTGCAGCAGCTAGTTGCTCTGGCTAGCTGCAGCAGCTAGCTGCTGTGGCTAGCTGCAGCAGCTAGCTGCAGCAGCTAGCTGCAGCAGCTAGCTGCTGTGGCTAGCTGCAGCAGCAAGCTGCTGCCTCCCGTGATGGTGCTGCGGGCGTTTTGTTTGTTTGCAGAAAGAAAAGGGAAAAGGGTTTAGGGTTTGAGTGTATGTACAGGCTGTCTTCTAAAAAGGACAGCGAGAAAGACAACTTTCTCTTTGCCACTTTTGTCTTTTTTCAGTTTTTCAACTTTTGCTGCTGCTACTTTTGCTGCTGCATGCACTAAAACGCATGCAGCCCCAAAGCCCCAACCACTCGCCGCTTTCCACTTAAAAAAAAAATAAAAATTTAAACTTCGCTAAAGAGGGGCCTCTGGGGGGCCCCCCGTTGCTTCTTGGGGGCCCCCGGGGGCCCCCAAGGAGCAGCAGGGGGGCCCCCGAGGGGCCCCTAGGGGCCCCCAGGAGTACCCACAAGCTGCTGAACAAGCATTCATTAAAAAAGGTCTTTTGGGATTTCTTTTCTAATATTTAATTATATTTTGGAATTAGTCTCTGGATTTGCTGCGCTGAGGCGAAGAGGCCTTTAATAAAATAAAGGAAAAGTTAACAGACTTTAAAACGAAATTAAATAATGCATGCAAAGGCCTCAGTGGGCCAGCGCATGCAGTTTGGGGCTGGCTGGTCTGCATGCACAGTGGGGAAATGTGCTTTTTGAGGACAAGAGCTTTTGGCTTTCAAACAAAAGACATTTTCGGAAATATTCTTTTTTATGACAAGTGCTTTTCTTTTGCAAACAAAAGGCAGCAGACACAAAACTGAAAATGGCAACAGCTGCAGCAAAAGGACTCAGTGGCTTTTCTTTGCTTCTTAGAATTGGCACAATTGGCTGTGCAGCAGAAAGCGCTGCACAAATATCCTCTTTTGCACGAAAAAACGTGCAATTGAAAATGAATTTGTTCTTGTGGATCAAAAGGTCGAAATAAAGGATCTTAAAATGCAAAAGTCGAAATAAAAGATCTTAAAATGCAATCTAGCCTTCAGACTGGCAGCAAAACGGGGCGGGCTGGACCCCCAGCTGCTGCAGTGCTGCTTGCTGCAGCAAAGAGCATACAAGTGACCTCTAGAGGTCGCTTTTGCTGCTGCTTAGCCTATATAGAGGTCATATTTGCTGCTGCTTGGCCTATATAGAGGTCATATTTGCTGCTGCTTGGCCTTTAGAGGCTGCATTTGCTGCTGTTTGCCTCCAGTTGCTGCATTTGCTGCTGCTGCTGCTGCTGCTGGCTTTAAAGAGGCTGCAGCTCAATGTGGGGCGGAGCCTCGAGGCCATGAATGCTTTCGGGGAAGTTACTGGTAGGGCCAGTTCGAGAGTCTTTCTTTTGGATCTTTTATGACAACTCGTACTAAATATAATCAATTTGCAGATTAAGACGATGAAATAAGAAAAGAAAAAGAAAGGAATACTGTGCAACTTGCGAACTAAAATATATTTATTCTCTCTTAGAAGACCTATTGACTCTACAGCGAAAAAAGATTTCCCATATTCTTCTTGGCTTGTGGGCAGTACCTGGGCCGCGTAGTTTGCTTCATAGTTCGACAGTAGATTAATAAATATGAATTAAGGATTTAAATAAATATGTCTTCAGAATTAAAATATGAAATAAGGATTTAAATAAATATGTCTTCAGAATTAAAGTTTTCAGTTTCCAGGATTGAGGGCAGACAACTTTGCATTTGTTGTGCAGAAAGCTGCAACTCCTGGAATGTCGTGGCGGCGGAAACCTCCACATACACATATGCCTCAGCTAATCACAGAACTCCTCATTGTTCATTTGTTTATTAAAGATAAAAATAAAAATTAATTTGTGAAATGAAATGAGATTTGAACTCCCTGAGGTTAACTCTGAAGACTCGCCCAAGGCGCTGTTTGGGGTGTGTGATCAGCACGTCTTCGAGATAGCAGTGCTCAAAAGTCGTAAAAAAGTGTATTTGGAATACAAAATATGAAAATGAATATAAAATAATGTTTTTTAATGACAATTATGGAGGAAGTCTCGCAAAAAGAGCAAGTTCTAGCCGATCTGGGTGTGGCAGTGCGGCTCATATTTTCTGACTTCTTTTATTTCGTCAAGTCCGCGCTAATTCTTCCCTCCGCTGGACTTTCTTCGGTCCCTATCAAACCAAAACTCTTTATGCTTTAGTTTTTCAATAAATATCTTGAATTGGCTTTCAAAAGGTGTATTTAATCCCGTTTCCCCAACTTGCGTTTAGCAGCGGAGTTTATTTTGCAGCTGTTGTAAGCTTAAGGCTACGCACAGTTCTTCTGATTGCAGCAAAAGCACTGTTTGAAGATAATAGGATTTGCAATCTTTTTTGTTAGCAATCTTTTTTGTTATAAAGTGCAGATCCGCATGCATTTGAGTCTTTAAACTCAAAAGAAACTGAGTCTAGGCCAAAGTCGCAGAACATGTATGCATGGATAGAAGCTGAAATACCGAAAAGTTTAACTTCAAAAGTTGTGGGAAGCCACCTGCAAGCTCTTAGCAAATAAATGAATCTCAAAGAATACAAATTCTGCAAAATATTTATAAAATTTTGTTTTTAGGAAGTCTTCTGCAGCTCAAGATATATCTTGCCAAGGCAGTCAAATTTGTGAGTGCAGCAGCTGGGCAGAAAGCTAGAACTCTGCAGATCAGTCTCAGACTTCAATTTAAGCCTTAAAATGGCGCCAGATCACTAACAATGGGACGTTATCTTGAAAAATTAGCATCAAAGCCTTTAATACTTAATTTAATACCTCTCAGAATCTCGAAAAATTGAAAAAATGCCGAAATTGCCGTTCAAACGGCTTCTTACTGATGGGCAAAAGCAGTTCTGCACACCAGAACCCAGAAGATCTAGAGTTTGGGGAGCCCTTAGGCTATTTATCCATTTATTTCTCGCGTGCTATATCTTGGAAAATGTATTCAACAAATATTCAAGTATTCAAGTATTCAAGTATTCAAATATTCAAGTGTTTTCTCCTGCCGAGTTCTAGAACTGCAGCCACCAGTGTGCAGCTGCACCCATGGAGGCTTTTATCAGGCCAAAGTCCTCAGTCCATTATTATCAGCTTCCAGCCAAAAGGGCCGGAAGAACTCGAAATGGTATTCTCAAATAATCCTTAAAGAAGCAGCAGCGCTAAAGAGCCGGCCGAGCTGGCTGTGGCAGATTCGAGACATCAGCTGCCTTCTGTTTTCAGCGTCCGGCGCTTTCTTTTCCTTGACACAATTCGATAAATGCCAAATACGAGTTATTGGTGAACACCAAATGCTTTGAGCTGCGTTCAAAGCATTCGCACTTTGAATTTTTTCCAAAAAAGCTGCCTCATGAGAACTACTCGACTCCTGGGTTTCCTTGTGGGAACTCAGGAATATTCCCAAGTCAGAAATAGATAATAGACTTCAAATTGAGCAGTAGAATCTGAAAAAGGCCTTTGAGCTGCAGCACGGAAGCAAACTGACACCAACGCTGCGCTGCGGCTGCGGGAAATCTTCGTGCTGCTGCGTTTTGCTGCTCTGGAGCTGCTGCGTCCTTGAGCTAATAGATTAGACATTCTGCAAAGCTCCAAGCCTCTAAAATGCATCTTTATTCAACAGTATAATGCAAATGAAAAGGGAAAATGGAATTCAGAGTCTAAGTGGAGCCCGCGAAGCTGCCATTTAAGCCCGCTTTCTGCGAAATGCCCAACTCCAGGCGCTGCATTTTGCATCAGTAGAAAGCACCTGGCACTTCTAGCTACCTCAGCTTTCCTAAAAGCGAAATATAAACCACAAAAAAACGAAAATTCGGAATTAGGGGATATATTTAGGGTCTGAGAGTTGCAGCAGAAGACCAGGAAAAGCCAGTTCAGCTTTCTTCGCAGAAGATCACACAGACGGTGACAGTGCTGCGTTCTGTGCTCATTTTCCCGCAAAAGTGCGAATTAATGAGTAGTTTTCAATGGGATTTGAGCTCAAAAATCCCAAAAGTGAATCCAAAAGACTCATATTCATGTGAGGTTCGCAGTGGCTAGTGCTGCGGACTGCAGTGTCTGGTGATTTCCTCCTTCACACGCCCCATAAACATATCATTATAATGACAGAGTTCAAATGTATATGCTTTCCATAGCTTGTCTGCGGTGTACGTACTCCTCAAGCCTACTCAAAACCCGCACAGTAAACCCGGAAGTCTTTTCCGAGTCTTTCCAGGAGCTGCAGTCCCGCAGCTCTAGGCAAATGGACTCCTTTTTGCCGCTATGAGGGCTCCAATAGGTCTAATAAAGCTAAAATTTGCTGCAGGAAGCTTTAGTTTCGCCACGAGGCCTTTTAAATAGACTTAAAGACCTCGAGTGTCTTTGCTGCTGCTGCAGAAGGTAGGCACACACGGCGCAGCCGGCTCCGGCTAAGAGCGACTTCAGCCCTTAATGCAAGCTGAGCTGCTTCACATATTGGGAGTTTTGCTGCTGCGCTTAGGCGCTGCGCAGCAGCAGCAGCAGCAGCAGCAGCAGCTAGGCAGCAGCAGCAGCCGTAGACTGGGGGCCCCGTGGGGCTGCTGCGGAGACCAACACCGATAAGCCCTGCTGCATCTCTGCAGTGAGCAGCAGCAGCAGCTGAATGCGACAAATTGAATTTGAATTTAAACCATCTAAAGGAATAGGGAGGGAGGGAGAGACATGGTGTCGTCGTTGCTGGCAGCAGCAACGGCGCAACAGCAGCAGCAGCAGCCGCAGCCGCAGCAACAAGCAGCGACAGCAGCAGCACGCAGGCCCGAAAGACGGCTGCAGCCGCTGCTGCTGCAGTGCACTCGCTATCACATTGTGCCTCCGTAGCGTTTCCCTCGCAGCAAGGGCGACAGCACTAGCAGCAGCAGCAGCAGCAGCAGCAGCAGCAGCAGGCGCTGCTGCGTGACGGCACCACGAGCAGCAGCAGCCGCAGCAGCAGCGCCTTCGACACAATGCTGGCACCCGTTGCTGCTGCTGCTGCAGCCTCCCTGGGGGGCCCCCTCGGAGCAGCAGCAGCAGCAGCAGCAGACCGCCAGGGGGGGGGCTATTACTTTGCAACTTCTCTCCCCCCCACAGTTGTGACTTGCTGCTGCAGCGTGCGGCTGAGGTCCCCATACACCCCAACTCTTGTCTTGGCCAGGCCCCGCTCTTTGGTCTTCTTGCACCCGAACTCCAAAAGCAGGCGCCGCCGCCGCAGCAGCAGCAGCAGCAGCAGCAGCAGCAGCAGCAAGGACCGGGGGTGCAGCAGCCCGAGCGCCGGCGCCGACGCTTCCTGCTCCTCCCCCCGCGGATCCCCCCTCGCAGCAGCAGCAGCAGCAGCAGCAGCAGCAGCAGCAGCAGCAGATGACGGGGAGGAAGCTGAGTCCCCCTTTTTCAGTCCTCCCGTAACTTTGCCGTGTCGTTCTGCTGTTGCTGCTCTTGCTGCAGTGCCGCGGGCGCCGCCCTGCGGCGCTGCTGCTGCTGTCTGTACACCTGAAGAAGACAAAGACCAAGACAAACAAAAAGAAGGACTTGAAGATCTTTTAGTTTTGACAGACTGCCAAACTCTCATGCTTCTCACCTACGACAGGAAGCAGCGCAAAGTCATTCCCATCGAGCTTTTCGACCTCCGGGTATGCAGCAGAACTGCTGCTGCTGCTGCTGCTGCTGCTGCTGCTGCTGCAGGACCTGAGTCGCTGCTGCTGCTGCAGGCGTTCGTTGTGCGCGTTGCTTCCGTGCGTGTGCCGCTAGGAAGTGTTTTAGTGCTTTCCTTCCGCAGCTGCTGCAGTGTCTGCTGCACTGTGATGTCCTGCTGCTGCTGCTGCTGCTGCTGCTGCTGCTGCTGCTGCTGCTGCAGCTCCCTTGCTTCCGGAGAATCAAGGGGAGGCCCTTGCTGGCCGTTTGTCCCCTCACAGGAGACATTGCAATTCACCAGTACGAGTTCAGGCTGCAGTACCTGCAGCGCCGCCGAGTCAGCAGCAGCAGCAGCAACAGCAGCAGCAGCAGCAGCAGCAGCAGCAGGGAGCCGGACTGCAGCAGGGCGAAGCGAGTGAAGGAACAGGGACAGTCCCCGCAGTGGCAACAGCCGAAGCAGGAAGGCTCGCCGTCTCAGCAGCAGCAGCAGCAGCAGCAGCAGCAGCAGCAGGCAGCAGCAGAGAGTGCAGCAGCTCTTCCCCTGTACAACCCGCTGCGGGTGGTGTTTGTGCACGAGTTGGGGATACTGGACATAGCCTTTGTGGCTCCGAAGCTGCGGCAGCAGCAGCTGAGCAGCAGCAGCAGCAGCAGCAGCAGCAGCAGCAGCAGCAGCCGGGAGTCGCTGTTTTCGGGCTGCGGGCGCGCAGCAGCAGCGGGCGAGGGCGCGTGGGGCAGCAGCAGCAGCAGCAGCAGCAGCAGCGGGCCGTGCCAGCAGCTGGGGTGTCTGTACACCTGCAGCACCGTCAGCAGCATGAGCTGCTCCTCCCCCGTTTGTCCTCCAGATCGCTATTTGCGGCTGCTGCACCTGCCGCAGCAAGATGTACCCTTTATAGACACAGACCCAGTTAGCTGCTGCTGCGGGGGCCCCCCGGGGCCCCTCCCGCTGCCTGGGGGGGCCTCGCGGCTGCTGCCGCTGCCGCTGCCCATTGGTGGGGTTGTTGTGTTTTCCCCCAAGAGCATTTCTTGGCTGGCAGCGCAGCCTCCCCACAGGGACAGAGCTGCTGCCAAGAAGCACTTTGCTGCGGCGCCTGCGGGCAGCAGCAGCAGCAGCAGCAGCAGCAGCAGCAGCAGCAGCAGCGGCAGCAGCAGCAGCAGCAGCAGCTCGTTCGTCGGGATCGGCCCAGCGGCTGCTGCTTCCGCCAGGGGGCTCAGCCCAGTTTGCTCGCAAACTACTTTTCCTGGCTGCGACGATATTGTTGCTGCTGCGCTGCTCTCGGGACCTGCAGCAACACTCGCCCCAGCAGCAGCAGCAGAGCAGCAGCAGCAGCAGCAGCAGCAGCACACCTGCGTCTTCGTCGCCGTCGACGCCAGGGGAAACGCGCTGCAGGCGGTCCTGCGTGTTTCGCCCCCCTCCGTCTCAGACAGCAGCAGCAGCAGCAGCAGCAGCAGCAGCAGCAGCAGCAGGTGGGAGGACGTGTCTTTGTCTGTTTGCTTCCTGGGCCATGCATGCGAAACTTCTCAGCTGTCTCCTCTGGGGCCCCACACCTTCTTTGCTGCTTCCACTTGCAGCGACAGTTTGGTGCTGGACATTAGAGAGCCAGCAGCAGATGGTTTCAGCAGCAGCAGCAGCAGCAGCAGCAGCAGCAGCAGCAGCGGCTTAGGCCTGAGCCTGTCCTCTGACGAGGCAGGAGGCGTCGGCGCTGCTGCAGAGTGGCTGCAGCAGCCGCAGCCAGCAGAGCAGCAGCAGCAGCAGCAGCAGCAGCAGCGGGGGCGTCTGCGAGTGCTGGAAGCCTTAAGCAATTTGGGGCCAATTGTGGATTGCTGCATAGCAGACTTTGAGGGCAAGGGGCAAAGACAGGTGCAGCAGCAGCCCCCAGACCAGTGCTGCTGCTGCTGCTGCTGCCGTTGCTGCTGTGGTTGCTGCTGCTGCTGCTGCTGCCGTTGCTGCTGTGGTTGCTGCTGCTGTTGCTGCTGCTGCTGCTGCGCTGCCGTTGCCGCTGGTGACTGCAGGGGTCGTTGCGGTTTGCGCTGCTGCTGCTGTAAGTGCTGTTTGTGCGCTGCTGCAGCTGTTTGCACTGCTGCTGCTGCTGTGTGTGCTGCTGCTGCTGCTGCTGCAGCTGGCGGTTTGCTGCGGCAACGGCAGCAGCGGGGCCGTGCGGTTCGTACGAGATGGCCTCTTTCTGCATTCTGCTGGTGCTGCTGCACTGCAGCAGCCCGTGGAAGGTCTTTGGTGTTTGCGGCTGCTGCGAGGGGGGGCGCTGCTGCTGCTTGCTGCTGTTTCCACGCCGTGTCGCACTTTGCTGCTGCAGTGGAGGGGCAGGCCAAGTGCGAAGCCCGACGCAAGTAACCTGCTGCTTCCGCCTTTGCTGCTGCTGCTGGACTCGTTGCTGCTGCTCTTGCTGCTGCTGCTTTCTGCTGCTGCTGCCGCGGTTCTCTGTGGCGCTGTATCAATCACCGCTACCACCCGCGTGTCTGCTGCTGCTGCTGCTGCTCCACTCTCTGTTGCTGCTGCCGGTTTTCAGTTTGTGACTGTTGTGGCTGTTGTGCTGCTGCACCTACCTGTGCCGGTTATGCTGCTTCTGCTGCTGTTGCTACCTGTGCTGCTGTTGCTGCTGCTGCTGCTGCTGCCTGCGTGCTGTGCAACTTCTTGGGCGTTTGTTAGTTAATTGCTGAGTAGCACTGCCCGTTGCATGACTCTGCTGCATCTCTTTCATCCGAATTCGTTGCTGCTGCTGCTGCTGCTGCTGCAGGGGCTATTGTGGCTTCCCGTAGCTGGAAGGAGACTGAAGACGGTGGAGAGATTGAGGCGCTGGAGGGCCTGGGGGCTCTTGTGACTTCGCAGCCTTCACTTATTTGCTGCCTTTTCAAGCCAGAAGATGCAAACTCAGCAGCAGCAGCAGCAGCAGCAGCAGCAGACAGTGAAACTGCTGAGGCAGGCCAACCCATGGAACAGGATGGAGAAGACTTCCCACGCGCGTCAGAGCGAGATTCTCCTTTGGTGGTTCTTCAGGTGCACATTTAGCTGTTGCTGCTGCTGCTGCTGCTGGTGCTGCTGCTGCTAGTGCTGCTGCTACTGCTAGTGCTGCTACTGGCAGTCCCGGTGCAGCTGTGGCTGTGTGTAGGCACTGCTGCTGCGAACATCGGAGTGTCTGCTGCTCTTTTGTCTTTTTTGTTGAATTCGACACAAAATTGTTTATTTTTATGAACCTTTTTGTCTTTTTTCAACAGGTTTTGCACCGGGGGCTCTTGGCGCTTGATGGCTGCGAGGCTTCGCTGGCGCTGCAGGCTGCGGTGTCTGTACACCTCACGGCGGCGGCTGCGGGGCGCCCCTTGCTGCAGCTGCGGCCTTGTGACCCCAGTGCCTTGTTTGCTGCTGCTGCTGCTGCTGATGAAGCGGAGTCGCGCATCAGTGCTGCTTCCGTGGCTCCTGTGGCAGGCGTCGGGCGGGGATCGGCTGCTGCTGCAGCGGGAGATGTTCTGCTGCTGACTGTCGACACTGCTGCTGCTGCTCTCTCCTTCAGAAGCAGCAGCCGCAGCTTCCACTGTCTCCAGACCAGGGACTTGAATGATGAGGCCTCTGCTGCGCATGCAGCTAGGCTGGACATTCCTGACCCAACGTCTGCAGCAGCAAGCGACGAGGCTCCTGCTGCTGCTGCACCTGCTGCTGCTTCCGTTTCCGTTGCCCTTGCTGCTGTGGGGTTGTTTGGGGAGGGCACCGTTCGTCTGCTGTCGCTGCCCGACTTGGAACATCTCATGACCGTTGATGCATGCAAGGGTGCGCCCTGCTGCTGCTGCTGCTGCTGCTGCTGCTGCTGCTACTGCAGTTGCTGCTGTCGAGGAAGTTTTCTGGGCTGCAAAGCAGCGGCAACTGCCGGATGAGATATGCTAAGCTTTCCGGAACCGCGTTGCATGCAGCGAGAGTTTTGACTTGCGTGCTGCTGCTGGTGTTGCTGCCTCCACTGGTGGGATGCGCAGTTGCTGCTGCTGCTTACCGAATTTGCTGCTGCTCTGCTGCTCTTTTGCTGCGGGCAGGCGAGATGGGCGTTTGGATCGTCTCTACGCTGGTTTGCTGCATGAGAGGCGTCGCTCTTTGCTTAGCTGGGCTCAGCAATGGCCGGGTGGTGCTGTTCCGTCTGGGCCTCGCAGCTGCGGAGGCAGCAGACAGCAGCAGCAGCAGCAGCAGCAGCAGCGGGACTGCTTTTATGACGGGGCACTTCGTGGACACTGGGTCGGCTCTCCGTCTGCGTCTGTCTTTGCTGTCGGGGCGAGTCTTTTCTGTGGGGGGGGGCCCTGTGCGCGTTGTGAGTCTTCCGCGGCTTCCGTTTGCTGCTGCTGCTGCTGCTGCTGCTAAGCGCAAGGAGGAGCGCCGCCGGCGCAGCAGCAGCAAGGGCGAAAGTTCGAAGCTGCGCGCAGTCTCCCCTCGGCAGCGACTCAGTGCAGAAATAGAGGCCCGCCATGATGTCTCTTGCGTCGTTTGCTGCTGCTCGAGCCCCACCATCATACACGTCTCTGCAGCAGGTGGGCCTCTAAGAATTCGCAGCTGCTGCCGATGCTGCTGCTGCTGCTGCTGCTGCTGATACCTCACTGCTTGCTGTTTGCTGTTTTTGCGTTTCCTCAGGGAGCCTCACCTACAACCACGTCCCATGTGTCTCGCTGCAGCACGTTGCTGACTTCAGCTGTGGGGCCACAGACCCCCAGCTGGGCCTGTTGTGGGTAGAAGGGGCTTCTGCTGTTTCCGCGGCAGCCGACAGCAGCAGCAGTAGCAGCAGCAGTAGCAGCAGCAGTGGGTGGTACCGTTCGCCGGTGGGCGGCCAGCAGCAGCAGCAGCAGCAGCAGCAGCAGCAGCAGCCACGGGCAGTGCTGCACGTGGGGGTGAGGGAGCAGGCGCAGCGGCTGCACTCCCGCGTGCTGCCTGTGGGGCGCACTGTAGATGCGCTGTGTCCAATTGAGTCTGTCTCTGTGGTGGCTTTGGCCTGTCCTGCAGAAGTGGTGGTGAGTTGTTGCTGCAGCAGGGGAAGCAGCACTTCGGGTGTGGGGAATTTCTTCAATTTGTTTCACTTTTAAGTTTCCTTCTTTTGTTTCCTCTTAAACTCTTCGATTTTGGAAAGTTTTTGGAAGTTCAGAAAGTCGGAATTGTGATTTTGCTGCTGCTTCTTGCTCCCCTTGCGGCTTCCTTCTATGCTGATTTCTCCCCCGTTTTGCTGGCTTCTGACCCCGCGTTGCTGCTGCGCGCCTCCCGTGCTGCAGCAGCAGCTGCAGCAGCAGCAGCTAAACTGCTGCCTCTGTGTCTTCCTGCGTTTTGCCCAGGATGGCCGAGAAGAGCCCAGCTGCGTCTTATTTGTGAATCCCGTCACGAAAAATGTTGAAGGCAAATTCGTTTTGCCCCAACCCACGCATGTGCCCTCGGCGCTGTGTCTGGGGCCTCCAGGGGTCCTGGGGGGGCCCCCTGGGGCTGCTTTCAGCAGCAGCATGGCATGCAAAGGCCAGCTGGAGCAGCAGCAGCAGCAGCAGCAGTTGCTGCCACGCAGCGAAAGCACTGCTGCTGCTGCTGCTTCGAGAGAGGCAGATGCTGCTGCTGCGCTGCTGTGCGTGGGCACAGCTGAAGTTGTACTCAATGACTGCGTCCCCCAAAATGGTTGCATTCATGTTTTGAGGATTTCCAGAGTAAGCTAGCGTTTCTTTGAAATCTTTTTATTTTTTGTCTTCTTTAACTATTTTTGTCATTCTTTGTCTTCTTATTGAGCTCCTCAGCCTTCCCTGCTGCTGCCCTTTTCTCCTTGTCTTTGCTGCTTTCTGTTTCTGCTGCCACTGGAGGCTTCTCCCCGCCTTTCAGTGTCTTGCATTTTCACAAGCAGCAACACTGCTGCTGCGGTTGCTCTGCTGCAGCGCAGGTGCATTGCTGCCACAGCAGCTACTAAGAACTGTTCCACTGACACTGGTGCTGCGCGCTGTTGAAACTGTTTTTCCACTGCTTGCTGCAGCTCCTTAGCTGTGTTGCTGCCTCTTTGCTGCTGCTGCTGCCGCTGCTGCTGCTGCTGCTACCGCACAGGTTCACGGCATGCTGGTCATAGCTGAAGCAGCAGAACGCATGCGACTGCTGGCGGGAGTCCACGAACTCCGGGTCTTTGACGGCATGGTTTTAGCTGCATGCAACCACCAAGTATGCGGCTGCTGCTTCTGCTGCTTCTGTTGCTGCTGTTGTTCTTGCTGCTGCACTGCTGCCCACCCCATTCCTTCCCTTGAAGGACTAGCTGTGTTCCTCTGATGTGGCTGCGGGTGCTGCCGCTGATGTCTATTGCTTCTGTGAGGAGTGTGTTTTTCGTTGCTGCTGCTGCTGCTGCTGCAGCTGCGACTGATCAAACTGAGCCTCCCCGGAGACAGCCTCCAGGAGGAGCGCTCCTCAAGCCGTCCAACGCAGCCGGAGCGCCGAGGCCAGCGCCGCAAGCAGCAGCAGCAGCAGCAGCAGCAGCGAAGACGTGATGGCTCGAGTTTGATGGACATAGGGGAAGACATGGACAATGATGGGGTGTCTCAAGACGAAAAAGAAGCAGTTCCTGCTGCAACTGCGGACAAAGGCCTGGGTGCTCTGGGCCGCATTCAGCTGGGTTGTATTGCCACGTTTGCTGCCAGCACTTTCATTGCCTCACTCGACGTCCTGTAAGAGCAGCAGCAGCAGCAGCAGCAGCAGTAGCAGCACCAAGAGCACCCGCACCAGCCTCAGCGGCAACAGCAGCACTATGACACATACGGCTGCAGCAGCTGCTGCAGCTCGTGGAGCTCGAGGAGGCAGGGACGCCTGTGCCTGTCTGTTGACCTTTAGGCTTCCCTTTTCTCTTCTTTGCATGTTTTTTGCTTTTGAGTCCTATGGGCCTTTCTTGCTTCTTCTCGTGTCATTTCCTGTTTTGTTGCTGCAGAGAAGACCGGCTGATTTGCGTTGGTGACATGATGTCTTCTGCTTGCATTGTAGAATGGAGGCCCAGCGAAAAGGCGCTGCGCGAAGTCGCAAGGGATATGCGATGTGCATGGCCGCTGTGAGGCCCTGCTGCTGCGTTGCTGCGGCCCTTGCTGCTGCTGCGGCCGCGGCTGCTGCGGCTGCTGCTGTGGCAGCTTCTAGGCACAGCTGCTTGCTGTTGGGGCTGAAGCCGGCCTGTCTCGTGCTGCTGCCGCTGCTGCTGCTGCTTCGCAGGGGAGTCTCGCTCTTGAATGGAGACAGCTGCCTGATGTCTGATGGAGAACAAAACTTGTGGGTGCTGCAGCGGGCGGTGCCTGAGGGGGCTCTCAAGGGCCTCTGCTGCGGGCGTGACGGCGAGGCGCAGCAGCGCCCTGCTGCCGCTGCTGCTGCAGCAGAGAGGCAGCAGGACGAAGATACGGCCGGCGGCAGCGGCAGAAACCGTCAGCAGCAGCAGCAGCAGCAGCAAGCGGGTGCTGCTGCTGAGACTGCAGCAGGGTTCAGTATAAGTGATGCGCAGCGTTTTCGACTCTCGCCTTCCGCTGCGCTTCAAACTCCAGTTTCCCTCAACAAATTCGTTCACGGAGGCATCAGCGTGCAAGTTACTGAGGGGCTGCTGTGGGGACCGAGTGAGCAGCAGCAGCGGGAGCAGGGCCCCCCAGCAGCAGCAGCTACGTCAGCAGCAAGCGAGGAGGCCCTAGGTGGGTTGCTAGAGGATGCGCACGAGGGCCTGATGCAGGGTTTGTCTGGATCGAGCAGCAGCAGTGGGTGCAGCAGCGGCGGGTGCAGCAGCAGCACCGGCGGCAGTGGACAGCCGCAGCAGAAGTCGGCCTCGCTCTGCTGCCCCTCGTACACTCGCACTTGGGTTTCAGCTGAAGGCAGCATTGGAGTTGTTTTGAAACTGAGAGACCCTGAAACTTTCGCAAAGATGGCGGTGGTGGAGGATGCTGTTGGGTACATCATGGAGTGGATCGGGTGTACGTACAAAACAGGGCAAACGTGAATGCATGCAGTAGCAGCACTTCAGCTGCTGGCCGGTTTTGTTGGTCGCAAATTCAAATGCTTGATTTAAATACTTGTGTATTTTCTGCGTACTGTGTTGGCTTTACAACAGAGCTGGGTCTGTGATTGGTTGTTTTTGTCGCTTTTCTTTTCGTTTTCGCCTCTCAATCTGTCGTATTTTCTTGTAGCTCCTCTTGCCTAGTGGCAGAGCTGCTTGGGGCCATCTCATGAGCCCATTCCGCGCTTTTTCTCTATTGCATATTTCTTCGTAGCCTGAGAGGGCCTCTGCTCTTAGTGCTGCTGGAGCAGCAGCTGCAGCAGCAGCAGGGGCAGCAGGAGCAGCAGCTGTGAGCGATGCTTGTCTTGCTGCTGCTCTGCGTGTGCAGTTCGTGGGAGATCACCTGGGCAAGGGTCGAGTCCGTATAAGGGTTTTGTAGACGGAGACATGTTAGAGCAGTTGTTGCTGCTGCGGCCAAGAGAACAGCGGGAGGTGTACAAGCTGGCTAGAGTGTAAGCTGATGCATGCTTTGTGTGTACTTGCTTCTCGTGGTCATTGACTAAGCGGCAGACAGAGCCCAAAGTAGGTTTTGGGGGAGATAAAACTGAATTAGTCTTGCGTGCAAATATGGCTGGCTGGCTGTTTCTTAGTAATTGTGCTGCTGCGTCATTTGCATCTGCTGCTTATGCGGTTGTTGTCTTCGCCGCTGCAGCACTGCAGAGGAAATCGGCTTGTCGCTACCCTCACTAGATGAACTTCTGCTGCAGATTGAGCACCTGCGGCAGCTGCATTGAAGGTCGCATTTCCTCTTCCAAGATCTGCCACAAATCAATAGGGCCTTGCTGCGGGGCCCGTGCATGCGTGCATTGTCGCTTGCATGCATTGTTGCATGCATGGATGCAACTCTTTCATGTATGCGCAACAGAAAGGTGCCGAATTCCTTTGTCTACAAAGGAGCAGCGGCTGAGGCTGCTGGTGCTTCTGCTGCTGCCAGCGCATGTGTTGCAGAAGTCACACGGACGTATTGGAATTATGTACACCTGGCTCTTGCGGCTTCTTTATTGCCGCTAGACTATATAGAAGCAGCACTCTAAAGCACTACTGGTGTTCCCCATAGAGCTCCATGCTTGACAGAAACCACTAGCTCTGAAGAATCCGTATATGAGCGAAGGAGCCTTGAAACTCGAAGACAGAAACCGTTAGCTCTTAAGCCGTAGCTGATCTAAATAACGTTGAAACTCGATGCCGAAGCCCCTGCTTCGAGGGGGGGCACCGCCTGGGGTCGAGTGACTTCATTGCCACTCGCCCTTTGCTCCACTGGGAGAGCGCCGCATATCTGAAAGTTGCGACGGCAGAAGGCGCTCCCTCGCGGATGCGCAGTTGGGGCTTTTCGTCCCACCACAGCGGCGGCTGCGGCCTGTACCCCGCAGCAGCCCATTAGCCGTGTCATTTTTAGCCCGATGTTCGGGAATTTCGCTGGCTTGGGGCCCTTGCCACAGCAAACGCATGCACAGATGCAGCCGCAGCTATGTTCTCGCCCAAATAGTGTGCGCCTGCGCATGCAGCGCTGGAGTTGAAACACTACCTGTGTGCACGAAGGCACGGACTGCTGGAGAGCGGCGGTTAATGGTAACCATAGTGAACGATACTGCTCAGATGCAGCCCTGGTCACGTTTCGCCATGCCTCTTGCCTTTGCTGCTTTTGCTGCCGCTTGGTCCCGCGATCCCCAACCTTCCTTTTAAAATATCAGATCCTGTATCCCTTTGTTTGCAAGGATTGCGCTGTTCTGCTCTACGCTGTTTCCGTTTACCTAGAAGTGCACTGGAGGATCCACTTGTTTCCCGTGTGCGCTGGCTAGACGTTTTGCCGCGTAAAGTCGCTTCAACTCCTGCTTCTGCTATTATTGTCACCCATATTCTTCATTTGCAATTGCATCGAAACTAGAGGGCGCTCTAGCTGCTTGGCTACTCCCCTGTCCCGACTGAGTCTGCTGCTGCGCATACTGTTGTTTCCACCTTAGCGTAGGCCACGATGTGCACATGCTGCTGACTTTCTCTTCTATCCCTTTAGCATTATTGTTTTCCTCAATAGCGGCAGCCCTGCTGTCCCTGAATACCTGATAAGTCTTGAGCGCTAGATGCCTTCGTCTGCAATTGTTCGTAACTGGCTTGTTGTCAGCAGGACAAGAGCCCTCTCTCCCGTTCACCCCTTCCTTGTGTCCTTTCTTTTCTCTTTCTGCTGGTTTTCATGTGTGGGTGCACGTGCAGCCTTTCGCTGCAATCATGCTGCGACGTTGCAATCTTTTTTCTTTTTCTCCTCAATGAGACTCAGAATCGCTGGTTCTTCAGTCCAGTGCAGACTGCTGACGCCATTGCTGACGCCCTGCTTGCAGCTAATCTCCTCCCCACATTCATTTACACACAAGGCTGTGTCGTCTAAAGTTGTTAGCTGACTGGGGCTGTAGCACCGCCACTGCTTTTCCCGCTGGCTAGAGTCTCCCACATCCTTGCGTGCCACTGCGCCTCCCACGCAAAAATCTCCAGTGCATCTATCCGAAAGCAATTCTCTGCAATACTTGTCAAGCTCTCTCTGAAGAGCATTGCTAGTTCCTGGAGGGTCTGTACCGTAACATGTTTGGTGAACGTTGTCCGATATAAGTTTTTCTAGGTCCACCTCGCTCGTCCAGACCATACCCTCCGCTGGATTAGTACCGTGCAGGCATTGGACATCCTCTCCGCAGTCAGAGATGCAAAAAGATGTGAAGGTCGAATTGATGATAGCCTTGGGGTGGTAGCAGCTCCAGGCTTTTGTTGTTGCCCCAGGGCTAGGCAGATCTTTGCGAGCCACGGCTCCCCCCATGCAACTGGCTTCTTCTGGTGGGCACTTCGAAGCTAAAGCTTCTTTGCAAGCATTATCCAGCATATTCTGCAGAACATATTTCTCTCCGGCTTTGTATGCTTCTGCGTGAGCGTGCTTGATTATGTTTTCTAGAGGAGACGTCAGGCTCCAGTGTTTGTCGCTTACCCTTCCACGAACTCCGCTTTGGCAGGCGACCTCATGTGGTAAACAGCCCCAAATGCAGGTGCTGCTAAAGTCACCAGAGAGAACAGAAGGATTGTAGCAGCGCCACACCTGCTCCTGCTCTGTGAGATTCCCTACGTCCTTCCTCGCCACAGGCCCTCCAGAGCAGTTGCTATCATTGGAAGGGCACAGAAACCGGAGTGCGTCTTTGCAAAAGTTGTCGAGTCTATCTTGAGTTTCTTTCAAGCATTTGTCTTCTTTGCAGAAATACGTCTTGAAGTTGTTCATCACCTCCCGAATGGCCTCATCGGTGCTCCAAACAGGATCGGCCATCATTAGCTCGGGCTCAGTGCACTCTTGCTCTTCTCCACAGTCTGAAGTGCAGCGCCCTTCAATATCTCCTTCTGTGGAAGCTTTGTAGAAGCACTGATATATTTTTTTCGTGCTGGTTCCCGTGCCATTGACAACGTTGGAGACCAGGCGAGCCCTGCAGTTGTTGCAAGTAGTCAATTCCGCGGAGGCTAAGCATTGCAACAAGCAAAATTTGTTCAGCGCATCCTGGAGCCCATTTGCTGCCTTCAGCATTTCTGCCTACGCCGCAACAATATGAATACGCGCATGTTCAAGTGGGAATTGGTGTTTATCTTCGCGTCTGCATCCGTTGGCGTAAATGTAGAAGCAGAAGCAGAAGTAGAGATAAGCGCAAACGCCCGCATAACATGAACTTGGAAACAATGCCTCATGCAACGCTTGAGTACGAGTCGAAAAACAAGGCAGACGCAGGCAAACAAGCAAACAAGCTTATAGCAGAGCCGCAGGTAGCAACTTTCTCTTCTCTAGATTACAGAGCTGCTTTCATTGAAAAGGGAAAAACCGCTGCGGCACCCAGAGATGCGAATGCATTTCAGGGTGCCGCTGTTGCCTTCTATTGATGCAGTTGCAGCAGCAACCAGATCTGCTTCCCAAAGATGGTTCCAATTCATTTTAGATGCAGAAGGATGGAAGCAGCAAGAAAAGAGTTGCACGAGCTGCAGCAAAAGGCGAACAAGAAAGAACAGTAGTAGAAGTGGCAGCAGAAACAGCAGCAGCTTGAGGCTGACGAACAGAATGATAATCTGCAGCAAACACAAACAAAGCACAGCAGCAGAAAACCATGGCGCTTGCATGCCTGCTCTTAAAAGACCAAAGCACGGAAAGGCGAGGAGGAGCATATGGCTAAGTGTGCATGCAAGCAGAGAGGAAATTGCCGTAGTTTCAATGAAAACTGCGGGCAAGGATAGCCCGTAGGAACGTAGAGCTAAAGTTGTTTGCACGTAGAGAAGAAATTGTCTGGGTTCCAATGAATACTGCAGACAAGGAGAGCCCGTGGGACACTGAGATGAGACCCACGGGCTCCCCAAAAGGGCCTTAGAGAGGGCTAAGAAAGTCATCAAGGGCAGTTAAGAGGGAATGGCGATGTCACAGGAAAGGCATGAGGGATTCTGCACAAAGGAATGCTTCAACAGAGCTTCAAGAGAGCCTCTAGGGGAGCCCTAAGAACCAACACCAGGGGAGCCTTCAGTGGCCTTTGCAGATGCCCGCGGAGCCCATAGTTCGACAATGTCTAGAAGCCTCAATATAAGCTCGCTGGTGCACTAATACACCCAAAGAGAACAAAATTAGAAAGGACGGAAGGCAGTTCACTTTGGGTTTCGGCGTTGGTAAGGACGTGCAGCATCCTTGCAGTGGGGAGTTGGCTGCACTAGTAGCTCACCAAGGCTTTGGGCAGAGGCTGCTGCGGCGTTGAAGATCCAAACAAAAATAAGCACGAGAAGGAAGGCTACACCGTTTTTTGTGTAGGGACACATCTTGCTGCAAATGACGTTTCTGCTGTTGCTGGCGACCCGTGCGTATCGACAGCTGCACAGCGCAGCTTCTGCATTTGTTGACTGGGTTTATTTCAACCTTTCAAAATAAAATTAGCGAGGGCAACTGCAAGCCGACGCAGAAAATGGTACGAGGCTCGAGCCCGCTGGAAAGTTGGGTACAGGGTCTTCTGCGGGTAGCGGCGATTCCTCTTGAGCCACTCCTTTAGGGCCGGAAAACTAAAAAGATGGGGAATTGCCATCAAACAAAAATTTATATTTTGTTGCACTGAAAAACAAAAATCGCGAAAACATGGAGACAGGCCTAGGACCGCAGCCGCCTGTCGCTGGACCGGACCAGCGCCTGCGGTGTCCACTGGTAGAAGCTGCTGCAGCAGCAGCAGCAGCATTTATCCCTCATTATTCTGCACGCATTTCGGAAATTCAGCATGCGTAGGCGTACTCGTGAAGATCGTAGAGACATGAGCCTCCACGTAAGCTGCCTAGTCAACGGGCTAGCTGCCACCCCACACAAGGAGGAAGCCTCTGCTGACCAAGGGAGACCGCCAGAAAACAGACTAGATAAGTTCATGTGCTGACAAACCACGCTTAATCGACCCCACACTTGGCTTGCCAGCCTCAGGATTAGCTTAACCCGCAGCCACACCTCCGCCGACGGCCAGGAAAGGCAAAGAACCAACAGCAGAAGCAGTGTCACGCTAAACCTTTGGTTCAAATTGGTTCCAATACGAACCTTCTATTGCTAAACGAGTCAGCAGGAGCCACAGGAACGGCGGCAAATGCACTGGCAGACGTGGATGCAGCAACAGGAGATATTGCAGCCTCAGCAACTAGACGAGCCCCAAATGTTTTTGAGTCTCTCAGGCAATAAGAAAAAAAAGCAAATATGTCTTAAAAGGCTTGTCTG